AAGTTGATCTGTCAGCACTATCCTTATCTTCAGATGTTTTTATTTTATTTGGTTTATAATTCCGTACTAAGTGTAGTATTCATCTCATATACTCCGTCTTTGATATGATTAAATCAAGTTCCTCGTCATTATAATCGCTTCCGATAGTGAAAGAAAGTGACCAGCGGTTATTGAAACGAAAACATTCGATTGACAAATTAGTCGTATTCTCAACACAGCAATTATAGGACTTGAACAGCGGAACTTTGTAACTGAACAAGAAATTATGTCTGTTTATAGAATTAAGAGAAAAGTATTATCACATGAAACGAAGCAACCTTACATTGAAGGAAATGTTTAATAAAGTAAACAAATAAATATTAAGCTTTTTCTTTTTGTAAATTTTGATACCCTTTAGATCATAATTGTTCTTTATTTCATAAATTACGGTTTCATATTTTTAATTTTGTAATTTCTGCATGCCATCTTACCAGATTTAAACTGATGATCTATAATCCGGAATCGCCGAAGTCCCGACGAGTCCGGATTAACGACTTTTGACTGTATATATCGTCACACAGATTACATATCAGCTGAAATCGTAGTAGCTTGCAAGATAAAATTAGCCAGTTCAAATCATATCCCTTGGCATTTGACGAAAGTACAGATATTTCAGACACATCCCAACTTGTGATATTTATTTGTGGTGTGAATAATTCATTCCAAGTGACAGAAATGTTAAACCTTTTAATATAAAATTTAAAAAAAGCACACATAACTACAGGAGAAGATGTTTTCCAGGTAACAGAAAAGTGTTTAACTGAAAATAGTTTACATTTTGAGGCTCTTTCAGGATTAACAACAGATGGAGCATCTGCTTTTTAAAATAAAGGAGCTATAAAATTACTTATGCTAGATTGCAGAGGCATTCATACCAATGATATTTTTATTACTCACTGTTTGATACATCAAAGAAATTTATATGCTTCAGTATTATCCATGAATCATATTATGAAAGTTGTTATTCACATGCTCTTCTGCATTGGCAATTCAAAGAATTCCTTAGCAAATTATCTTCTGAATATGGTGATGTTGTATATTTTACCAATGTTAGATGGCTAAGTCATAGAAAATGCTTAAAAAGATTTTTTAATGAATGGGAGGAAATAGATATGTTTATGAACGAGATTGCAAGAACCTTTCCTGAATTTAACCAATGATGACTAGATGTTAGATCTTTGATTTGTAATATATATAACGAAAGAACTTAATTAGCTAAATAAGGACTTGCAAGGGCAAGATAATTTAATAATTGATGCTTGTAATTTCATCAAATCTTGTAATAAGTTATTGTTATTTGAGTGCCAACTTAGAAATAATAACATTCAGAATTTTCCGCTTTTAAATAACTTTCAAAAAAGCAAACCTAATAATTTCTTGAAATATGGTCATGAAATAAATAAACTTATAATTGCATTTGATAAACTTTTTAAAGAATTAGCAAAATATGATATAATGTTTTAAATATTTTGATGTCCATTTCATGTTGATATGAATACTGTTCCTGAAAAATCTGGAAAATTGCTACAGTGCAATAATGAAATGAAACAAATTTTTGTGTTCACATTAAAAATTGATTTTTACAATACTTATGATTACATTCGAGAGATATTCCATGCTTCTGGATTCACATGTTTGTAAAACATTATTTTCGAAGATGAAATTTACGAAGAGTTCATCAGATGCTTCATTAACTGATGCCAATTTAGAAAATCAGCTAAGGTATGCAAAGTCAAACATAAATAGATTTACAAAAAGTGAGCGAAAGAAAGGATAAACAAATACCTCATTAATTAAGGCTAAAAAAATTATCATATTTGAATCATAGTACAGCAGTAAAGTTTTATTCATTTTGTACTGTATTTTTTAAAAGTATGTTTACCTAAAATGTAGCCTGCTGTAACATTTCTCATCATCGAAGGGGCTTGTGAAACCATTTGGGTTGGCAGGTCTGCAAGTATACCCTTCTATTGGCCCAAACATAATGTAATGTTTTTCTTCATTTTAATATACCACTCTCAGACTTGATCACTTTTTGCAGGCATTAGTAATGTGGCCATCATGACTCGACTTTTATCAAACTTCTTTAAGCCTGCTGAATGACAGTGATAACTGATTTTATTTAAACTTTTCATGAGCTTTGCATGTGTCACTAAATTAGGTTAAGTTATTTGACTTTGTGCGAGAATACTAGTGAGGTAATTGGTTAGTAAATCGTTACATATCGGTAAAATGATAAAAACTAAAGATGCAACCAGCTCTTTCAACTTGGGTTCATATGAATTACCAGTATTCAGCAGCTAATGAAATAGATCCATTTGATGTTAATTCACTGTTTGTTAATGTTCCAGTTGAAGGACCATTAAAGTGCTTTTATACCAGACTTTGAGAATTTTATTTCACACACAGTCAAATTCATGATTTAATTTTTCTCATTTTTTTAAACAAGACCCACTTCATTTTGCAAAATAATTACTATCGCCATACTGAAGATGTAGGTAATACCTTTGGTAGAATACTTGTTGACATTTACATGACCTATTTTGAAGTAAAAAATTATTTGACAGATTATCTTCTAGGTTTTAGATTTGATATATTGATGACACACACACTTTTTCACAGTGACAAACATGGTTTATCCAAGATTTTATCTGTTTTAAATTCATTTGATCCAGCCATCTAGTTGAATTAAATCTGATATTGCCCTTCCTAATATTTAATTATTTGCAATGACTGAATTCAGCTCATAAAACATTGTCTGTCTGTTTGCCATCCTATGCTGAATCATATCATCCTGCTACAAAAAAGGCTTCTTGGTAAAAGTACATTTACAGGTACCAAAAATTGGCGATTTTTAGTGGTACATGGATACCGAGTTTTGCGCACACCCATTTACATGTTGACCTATTTTAACTTTTAAAAAACCAGATAATTGCACAAACTTAGCATTACGCACTCCTTTGACTTTGTCCATGTACACATCGATATATGTTCATTTAAAAAGTCAAAGGAGCACCCAGTTCTAGGTAAAAGTATATTTACGGAACATTCAACTACTCAGGTTACCATAAATGAAACAACAACTTCGCGATAATACAAGGGGTACCCTTCAGTCTACTCTAAGTGGCTTCTTTTTTCTCTTATGAATATTCTGCTCTTAAAGTGTTTAGAATCTTTGCTCTCTTACGAACTCGAATTATTTGAAATTGGTTGCTACTGATAAAGGAATGTTTCCCACAGTCATTAATAAAGACTTTAATCTTTTTTTCCCCTGTGACCAAAATACACATTCTACTATTAGATACCCTGTATCTGCTTTTGTTACCTAAGTATATCTTGTATTTGCTTTTGTTATAGGTATACCCTGTATTTGCTTTTGTTAATAGTATACCCTGTATTTGCTTTTGTTAATGAGTATGCCACCTGACAGAAAACCATCAGATGAATTTTATTGATCCTACTTGTGCTAACAATCAGACGATAAAATAGGTTCTTATGCTGTAACTTGTCAATGATGAAATGGCCGCTAAGCAGCACCATGTTGCACCAGTTATGAATAAGTGCTATATAACAACACACTCATAATGTGCACTTTTGCTTGATGTAATCTCGATTAATTCTTGACAAGCCATCTTTTGTTTTTATGAACAAGGATATAAATTGATGATTATTTCTGCACTTATTTTCTTGCATTTTGGAAGAGGGGATTTGGAATGTGCCTTTAGCAGAACACAATTTTTTTTTTGGGGGGGGGATGGGAAGCACCAGGCTTTGGCAATATTAAGGCCAGAAGTGATGGTCATTTTATTATGGAGGTACCTAATAAGCGGCTACCATCACTTGCTATGACCCTATGGTATGTCAGTTAAGAGTCACTAACCATTTTTCCATCTGGATGGCAGGATTATTTTCAAAATTATGGAATTCTGCCATAAAAATAAATAAATGTGTATGAACAAAATACTATCAGCTGAATATGACTGTTAAAATAGTAACAGATTGCAACAATAACCTGTAGAAAGTTTGTATTCATAGCGTTCTAAATAAATCTTTCGATAAAAGCAAAGGACCTAACAAATTAGTAACAAAAGCCTTTTATGAAGTGTAAAAAGAAAACGGGTGAAATACTGATTGTTTATTAAATAGAAACATCAATTCCTTCAAAATTTCACACAAACTACTGGGAAAACTTTGTACAACCTTTGTTAACTTTACTGGTTCAGTGGTAACCAATTTTCATGGTCAATGGGATAATATTTAAGTACTATAAAATGTCAAAGGAATCATCTTAACCAAAAAAAGAAATTTCAAAATAAGAGTGAAGCAATATCTACTATGCTACTGAATTGTGATCTGAGAAAAATGGGTACAAATTTCTGTCATGTTTAAGAGATATCAGGACAGAGTTTGTGTGAATGAAAAATAGGAATGGCTATGAATGTCGTTTTATATTTGATTATAATAGTAAAATTATGACTACTGACAAATACTTCACATGACAGATGCCAAATAAGATCATTCAAACTGCTTTTTCTAACATATTTGCAATACAATGACAACCATCGAGGAATGAATATGATAGGTCTCTTTCAAGACCACATCAGTGCAGTTTCTCTGATATTTTTCTATAATTTAATACAATAATCTGATAATGCAATAAAAGCAAGCATGTATGATTTCGGGTGAAGTACAGAATCGCCCAATTATTTGGCGCATATCAATGTGTACATGGACAAAAACAAGGAAGTGCACAATGCCAAGTTTGTGCAATTCTTGTTATTTTCAAGTTGGTGGTTTTGAAACACGTGCCAAGAAGTGGGCGATTCTTCACTTTCCCTGATTTCTTTGTATTTATTTATGTACTGCAAGCAGAGCCAGATTTAGACTTGATAAGGCCCTAAGCTATTTGAGATATGGAGCCCTTAAGAAGTTTGTTATATGTTTTAATACTATTTACCTACCATTTAATTTTTTGGGGGGCCCCTAAGCTATAGCTTGTGTAGCTTATATGTAAATCCGTCTCTGACTGCAAGGGTTCCCAACCAGGAGTGCTCACACCCTTGGCACCATGAGGTAACATTCTAGGGGACGTTTTGTCTAAAATAAATGAAGTAATTGTTTAAAAGTTATTGCACAACATTGGTGCACAAGCACATAAAAAATTTGACATGCATATTTTTAATATCACTGTGTGATGTGTATGTAATTAAATTGTGGATCATATGGAAACATCAAACTCATTTTATGAGTTAATAACCCATACTTTTCAGTATAAATAATATATCACACGTTGAACTGAAGAAAGATCTTTTAGAACTGCACACAAATCAAGCTTTTGAAATACAGTCTGAAAGTAATACTTGGCACGGTATTCACGTTAGCAATACTTGGATCAATATTCATGTTAATTTTTGTACTATTTTCTTGTGTCTATGTGTTATTTTTGTTTATTATTAATTTGATATTGCAACCTTGTTTTCTTCTTCTTTTCTTTCTTTTAGAATTAAACTGTGATAGAATGTGTGAGAGTACAATAACATATTAAAAATTTTTTTAGGGTTGCAGCATATGAAAAAGTGGAACCTGTGATGTATTGCTATTTTTCATGTGGTTCAAGAATAATAGCTTGTTGTGAGAACATTTTCTCCGTGTTTGACCACGAGAAAGGCACCATTTTAAAAAACTATATGTTATGAATAGTCAGAGATGAAATTATACAATGAAAAAATTCTATTCTAACAACATTTAGAAAGCAATAAGTTTTGTTTAATGTGGAAACAGAGTTTTAAGCAAGTGACAACAAAGTGAGATTTGTCATTTAATATTTAATGGTTTAATTGATGGAATGTGTCTATATAGGACCTAGAAAGTTGTTGTATATTTTGCAGTTTGGTACACCTTGCACCAAAAAAAAGGAGGGTCTTGGGACAGTTCTACATCTTCCATTCTATTGGAGCGATTGTCAAAATTACGTTTTCCATCTCTTGAAGCGCGAGTTAGGATATATGTTAGAGTTATATATAGCATTGGTCTAACATAGGTATTTTGACACAAAATCACACTTTTTCTAAAATAAATAACATATAAATTTTTTTCCATATTTCGATTCTGCCACTCAAATTATGCCTACATATTAAATTTTGCAATTTTTGGTGAGAAATTTAATAATTAACTTGGCGCATTTTTTTCAGATTGTGCCAAGAATAATTCACTTTGCAAACTTCTTAATTTATAGAACCTGTTTTCCTTTTTTCAATGCACATGAGTGGGGAAAAAGGTCATTTTTCATACTTTAGTATCGCTTAAAACGAATATGCCAAATTTCAAAACACGCCAATATGTTAATTCACGTATATCTTAGGAAATTTTGAATAAAAAACTGCAGGTATGCTTAGAAATACATCTACTTTAAGATGGTGGCAACAAATTTATAAGTTATTAATCAAAATGTTTTTCAAAAAATTTATAAAAATTATTTAAAAATAAACATAGAATGTGAAAGGAAGAATCAAATTAGTTTAATAAAAAAAGAGATTAATAAATATGTACCAAATTCAATTAACATAGGATAATAACATGGAGCTAATTCTTTGAAAAGTACTTTGTGATTTTTACAAAACTTGGCACTCTAGCATAATTTGAGTCGTAAAATCGAAATATGGAAAAAAATTAATATATTAGTTAAGAAAAAGTTCAATTTTGTGTCAAAATACCTTGTTAGAACAATGCTATATACAAATCTAATATAGTATATGCAAAGTCACGCTTCTGAAACATGAAAAACGCAACAAAAAAAAAAAAAAAAAAGTCAGATTTTGTGTCAAAATATCTAATGGATGTCACGCTTCCAAGACATGGAAAACGCAAATTTAATTTCGACAACCGGTCCAGTAGAATTGGAGATATAGAACTGTCCCCCTCTTTTTTTTTTTTGCAAGTGTACATGTAATATTTGTTGGATTAATATGGTTTCCAATCACAATATAATGTTGTTCTTCGGAAAAGTGCAGTCACCCACTGCTTGGCACGTTTCTAAGAATTGCACTAACACTGTATCCATGTGCACATCAACCTATTTTCACTTAAAAAGTCAAAGAAAATTGACAAAAATCCAATTCTTCTTAGTCTTGTAAAAAACGAAAAACAAATAAGTGGGCGATTCTGCACTTTACCCATTGTTTTTTTGGTAGCTGTACATTCTCATTCTAACCTCAATCCTACCTGTTCATTACTGGAAATTAAATAAAGGCTAAGCCCTAAATAAAAATTCTATGTCAAAATTCAGCACACAGCCACTAGAACGTTTGCTACATACAGCAAACATGATCACGAAATAACAAATCTTTTATTATTCCCATTCTGAGAGTATGGAAGAGTACGAGTTCTGTATGGAAGTGCTCCAAAGTTTTAAAAAGAGCTTTTGCAAGTATTTTTTTAGCTAAAGCTTCCATTTCCCCTCCCCCAAAGTTTTGCATTCTGAACATTTAGTACAGTCAAAAGTCGTTATATCGGACACCCATAATCCGGAATGATCTATAATCTGGACCTCAAAGCTACAAACTTTGTCGCTTCACTTTCCTTACCTCCTCTGCATAGGCTTTACGAGTGCGCTTTTACGGCTGTAAATGTGCGCATGCGCATTTAATGTGTAACGGATGGCATAAGCTAAGCTAAAATTATCTAATTCAGTTAATGTTGCAGATTGTGTTGTTCCTTAATCTTGGAATTGGATCCGGCTTATTATTTTTTGCAGACTGTTAGAGCAATTTTATAAAAGTAAGCTTGAACTTTCGATTATGTAAAATAGAATTTCTGATATATATTTACTAATATGCAAAGGATCTACAAAGCGAAAATATGTTTCGAAATCCGAAATCTGTTTTTCAATTTCACGCCGCGGCGCGCAATTAATTGGAAGTTGATCTGTCAGCACTATCCTTATCTTCAGGGCAGATGTTTTTATTTTATTTGGCTTATAATTACTTAAAATGTAGTATTTATCTCGATGTACTCCGTCTTTGATATGATTTAAATCAAGTTCCTCGTGATTATAATTCTTCCGATAGTGAAGAAAGTGACACAGAGGTTTATTGAAAACGAAAAAAATTTCGATTGACAAATGAGTCGGTATTCTCAAACATAATTATAGGACTTGAAACAGCGGAACTTTTAACTGAACAAGAAATTATGCCTGTTTATAGAATTAAAGACAAAGTATTATCATATAAAACGAAGCAACTTAAACAACTTACATTGAAAGAAATGTTTAATAAAGTAAACAAATAAATAAATGAACAACAAATTATGCTTTTATAGAATTAAGACAAAAGTATTATCTATAAAAAAGCAACATTACATTGAAAGAAATGTTTAATAAAGTAAACAAATAAATATTAAGCTTTTTCTTTTTGTAAATTTTGATACCCTTTAGATCATAATTGTTCTTTATTTCATAAATTATGGTTTCATATTTTTATAATTTCTGCATGCCATCTTACCAGATTTAAACTTATTATCTATAATCCGAAATCGCCGAAGTCCCGACGAGTCTGGATCAACGACTTTTGACTGTAGTCATATCTACATATAGAGATATAAATTATCCATTTTAGTAAAGTCTCTTCTTGTATTTCTAACACCTAAACCATGTATTTCGTATGGTAATATTTGTACCTGGTGATTTATATAAGATGATCAGTGACGAGTCTATATAGCTAGCAAGTAAACTCAACCAAATATGAGTATTCTTATAGATCGTAGTAACCATGTTAAGAAGCTATTATGTAAAAAGTTTTTCATTTGTAATTCTTTTTTTCTGTGTTGGACAATGCATAATGAGAAAAATTTATCTTTGTAGTTGACTACCCATACGTAGTACTGGTATTGGAAGCTTTCGCAATATATGTTAAAATATTCGGTACTGTTCAGTTTTGAGAGCCCTTATAAAACGCCAAACTATTGTTGATGCCAGTGCTGCCAAAAATATTGTGCAACCCTACGCAGAAAGTAAATAGTAAATACTTTTAAGATGATGGTTTTAATTTAGATGAAAAGTTCAATTCAGTATACTTTTTTATATTATAATTTATAAAAAAAGGCTAAACTGACTGAATTGAAGCTAAGAGTAATACTATTAAGATCATATTATAGTTTATTAAAATTGTAAACTAAACTGAAGAAATAGATGCCTGCATCATACGGCGTTATCCTAAGCATATTCATCTGTGGTTGTTCAAACTAATTTCTTGATGAATGATGCCTTTTCTTGAAAAATCTTGGTAAAGGGTCAGAATCGCCCACTTGTTTATTTGCCGCTTTTTACAAGGTAAAATAATAGATTTTGTCATTTCTTTTACTTTTTCATGAAATACGCGATGTGTACATAGATAAGCAAGGGTGGCAATGCATTTTTGTGCAATTCTGGATTTTTTTTTTTTTTAGTGAAAATAGTCAATGTTAATGATACCGGACTATATGAATTCTAAAACGCATCAGCAGTAGCATCCTGCCTTTACCCAAAATTCTATGCAGACTTTTGTCATGGGCCTTCCCAAATTTTTAAATCCATAGATAACAAAAAAAGGATTTAAAAATTAAACTAGTATTTCAATGGCGTCTTAAGAAAAATAGAACTGTATAAACTTGCGCAATCTGAAATCAGCGCATACACTAGATTTGGCGCACTGTTAAATGGGTGTGTTTGCTAGATTTGGCGCATACATTTTCGCTGCAATTTTTTTACGGTCCTCAAAACAGAATAGTATCAAATATTCAATCACTGGTAATAAAAGTCCTTTTTAAAAGCATGAACATTTCCAGAGACACTATAATAAATTAATAACAAAAATATGCATTTTTATAACACTTTTACAATTTGTGTCTTTTACTGAAAGTTTCTTAAAATGCAATAATAAAAATTGTTTCAGATATGTCCCAATTTTAATTCTACTTCAGAGAATGTGGACTAAAGGTTGTTGTTCCTGTTAAAATTTAGTCGTAAATGATAGTAAAATAATAATAAAATCCTCATGGTGTTAGGTTTGTTTTGTATGGCAAATATGGGGAAAATCTGTTTTCATGAAGTACTTAAGATTTGGCTGTTATTTTGCAGTACATAAAACTCTTTTATAGTCAAGTTCAATGAAGGTAATTTTCCTTAGATAGAAATTAAAATGAATGAATGTAATTTTACTCAGTACCTTTGACATAACTTAAGCATTGTCAAGACATATATATAAAACCAAATGTACCTATATAAAGTACCTTATTTTGAAACGTACCTGAAACCTTCGATTCTTGTATTGCAAACTATAAGGACTGCCTCGCGAAACATCTCCGAAATAACTGGAACTGTTGCTGTCAGGACTGAAGGATAAATTAGATCCGCTACTTATTTGCTCGCGAGTATTAGAAGAACGATTGAATGGCTTGGAGGAATTTTGATGAAAAGGTGGCGTACAACGAGGAGAATATCGTTCGACCGGACTACTATAATTTGGACTTCTGCAAAAACCCACATTTGATTTAGGTGTCCACGGTGAATGAAACCTTGGCGAGGAATGGTTTGGCGTGTGTGTGCGGGGGCGCTTGGGGGGAGCGGGTGGGGGCTCCACGCGTGCGGTGGGTGGCTGGGGAGGAGCAGCAGTTGTCGTTTGGGTGTCTTGGTATTGGCGGGGGGGAGTCGGGGCGGGGTTGGGGGCCGTGGGGGAGCGGCGCGGGGTGGGATGGAGGGGGGGGGTGGCTTGCGTTTGCAGGGCGGGCGTCCCGGGGGGGATGGGCGTCGCGGGGAGGTTTCGGGGGGGGTGCGGGGGGTAGGGGGGAGACCGCGCGGCGGGGGGGGGTGCGGAAGGTGTGCGAGGGGTGGTCGGCGGTGCGGGGGGCGGGCGGGGGGGGGGGGTGGGGCCGGGGAGGTACCTCGGAGGGTGGGGGCGGGAGGGGAGGGCGGGTCTGGGAGGTTGGGGGGTCCGCGGCCGGGGGGCGTGGAGGGTGTGGTGGGGTGTTTTCTGGGTGACGATCGGGGCGTGGGGGTTGGGGTGCGGGGGGTGGCCGGGGCGGGGCGGTGGGGTGCCAAGGGGGACGGGGGGGGTGGGCGGGTAGGGGGGCGTGGGTCTTGGCGTGGGTTTGTCTGCTGGGCGGTGGGGGTTCGGTCAGTGGGGGGAGCGGGGGTGGGGCTGGGTGCGGGGTTGGGGTGGGTGCGGGGGGTTGGGGCGGAATTGGTGGGAGAGGTGGCGCGCGGGCCGGCCGGCAGGGTGTGCTGGCGGGTGGGATAGGGGGGGATGATAGGCGCGGGTGCGCGGGGGCGGGGGGTTGGGGCGGGGGCTGGGGTGCGCGGTGGGGGAAGCGGGGAGGGCTCGGGGGTTGGGGGGGGCGGGAGGAGGGGGTCGCCTGTTGGTGGGGGGGGGAGGGGGTGGGCGGGTTGGGGGGGGGTGGGGCGGGGGAGTGGGGGGGGATGGGGCGCGGGGACCAGGGGGGGGTGGGGGGGGCTGGGGGGGCGGGGGGTGGGGGGGGTGGCCCGGGGGTGGGGGCGGGGTGGTTGGGGTTGGTGTGGAGGTGCGGGGGGTGGAAGCTTATCGCCTTGTTGGTTTTCCCGGGGGCGGGGGGAGGGGGGGGGGGACCGGGGGTGTTGTCCAGGGAGGGGCCGGAGTGCGCGGTTGGCCCGTCCGTGAGGGTGCGGGGAGGGGGGAGCCTGTATGCCGGGGGGGGGGCCACGGGGTTGGTGACGCGGGGGTGGGGTAGGCTGGTGGCTTGTCGGGTGGGGGGGCTGGTGGGCGGAGGGGGAGACGGGGCTGCGGGCGCCGGGGCGGGTAGCGGCTGTTGCCCGTGCGGGCGGACTGGGAGGAGGGGTGGGGGCGGGGGACTGCGGGGGAGGGGGGGGAGGGGCGGGGAGGAGCGCGGGGGGGGGGGGCTGGGGGGGGCCGGGGGCGCGCCGAGCCCGGTGCCCGGGGGCGGGGGTGGTGCGGGGGAGCGGTAGGGTCGGGCTGGGGGCGGTGGCGGGGCGGGTGTGGCGAGGGGGGTTTCGTGGGGGGGTGGGTGGGGTGCGGGGGGGGCGTGGAGCGTGGGCTAGGGCGCGGCTAGGGGGCTGGGGCGGGGTGGGGGGGGGGGGTGTTGGGGGGTGCGCGTGCTGGGGGTCGGGGTGGGGGGTGTGGGGGGGGGGTTGGGGGCGGGGAGAAGGGAGTGGGGGGGGGAGGGGTGGGGGGTTGGCAGTGGGTTCGGTGGAGTTGTTTTTTTGTGGTTTTGTTGCGTTTTTTTGGCGTACCGAGGAGAACATCGTTCGACTGGACTACCGTAATTTGGACTTTTTGCAAACCCGATTTGATTAGGTGTGCATGGCGACTGGAAACGATGATTATGTGGGGAGTGAAAACGGTTACTTTGTTGGAAAGTTATTCTTGGATTATTAAAGTTATATCTTGGTGAAAAACTGTTATTCATTTCAAATCTTCAAAATGACCATGCATAGAGTAGCATCTAATTCGGACACGCGCGTTATAATCATACGATAAACAAACGTTCTAAACTTAACTCTTGTTCGAGGCTATGAAGTTTAGTTTCCCTCGTGATCACTAGGACCGCTCTAATGGCTGACGAGGATATCCGGGAAAAAAAAAAAAAAGAGCTAGTGTTCGTGGCTAGTCAACGCCACCTAGTCGTTTTCTACTGCCTTGGTGGCGACATTTTATTAGCCAACAGAAGTAAATATCGTGTAAGGAATAACAGCGAGGAAAAAAGGAAACTGAGTACAGGTTATTTTTGTTTGGTAATTAATTGCTAATTTGGTTCTCTTATAGTATTAAAAGTCTTATAGTATAATCATTCACATTCATATCTCTGCGCATACTATCTATCTTGTTAGAAGGGACTCATCCCTCTTGTTAGAAGGGACTGCTTACTATTTTGCAGCGTTTTCTGCTCGGAAAATGTAAATATTGAAACATGGATGTGAATATATCCCAGTTCAGATTAAAATACTCATATATTATTTCTTATTCGTATAATAAACATTAAAATATTAAATGTGCTTATCATATTTACATATATATATATATTGCTACAAATATCCCAGAACAAATAAAAATACTGATAAATATGTTTAGTTTGGGACTTAAAACTGTTTAAGCCATATATCTTTAGGAAAAGTAACACTGCTACTCTACACGCAAATTTGAAGCTCCTTTCAATTCAGACTACTGCACCACGAAAGCACTCATTACAAAGATGAATGTCATGTTACTAGAGAAGAGTCCTAGAAATTAGAAACTGTTTGACACAAATTTAGTAGTTCTGTTCATGATATCATGTTTCACATATCTCGGCAGTATTACGTACCTTGCCGGTATACGATCTTGCGGTTTCCTCTTCAAAAAAGCGACCCAAAGCTATTTCACAACCTGATTATGCTCAATTGCCATTTAAACGGCGACGGTATGAACCAAGGAGGCCATGATCATCAGTCATGACGTCACGTTTCTGACATATTTTCGCCTTCAATTTTGTGACGTCATGCTTACTCCATCTATTCTAAGGCTACTATAAGTATCTCTAGTAGCTCTAATCTATTCTAACCTCCTTCGTATGAACATATGGACGCCCAAGTGGATGCCTATCTCACGTTCTTGAAACCCAACCGCCTCCTCGTTCCTCCCCGATCTGCTACTGAGAAAAATCCTTTAATAGGGTAAAAGTAAGGCTCCTCTAAAATAAAAGTATAGAGGAGCCTTAGGTAAAAGTATCACTGCTGTCTCCCTAAAAGAAGTACGTCATCATATATCATACATAGCCCGAGACACTGCTATCCCAAATTATACGCCACCAGCAGTCTATATTATGCAAAAAATAAGAAAATTAAATTCTTTTCAGAATTCTGATTTCAGAAATTACACCTTTAAAAGATTTTAAGTACATGGAAAAAGAAGCCTATCTGTTATTTTATAAGAAATTACTCTAATTTCTTTAAATACCCTTGATTTCTAGTTTTTATTTCAGAATAGTTCAAAATTTCTTTTTATTTAATATTTTATCTCAACAAATGTAAGTATGAGATCATGAGAAGATTCGAAAGGAAATGTTTAGAATCTATATACTCTCATGCATATAATAATAATAAGTTTCACTTGCATCTGAGTGGCAATTGAATCGTGAGAATACTTTTTATTTTCATTGGTAGAAAACATGTCGGGAAGTTATAATGGCTGTTGTTCATATGCGTAAAAATTCTTTACCTGCTACTCGTCAGTGGTATGGAGATGCCAATGAGGATCACTCCAGAGCAATGTTACGAAGGTATTTCTATCAGGTAATGCTCACATATGGTAATTTACCGCTGTATTAAACTTATAAACGCTGTAATACCACACCCTAGTTGTACAATATGATAAAATTACAATTCTTGGAGTTTTGTGTGTTGTTTTATATTTTAATCTCAGCATCGGATTAGAGTTTTATTTTTATTTATCAGAATCATTAATATAGAAGACAAAAATGACTGTTTATGAGTACGTAAATATTAAATGTATCTCTATTGCAAGAAAAGGAATCTGCTATAAAAATTGCTTAAAGTGTATATTCTAACTTGCGTGTTTGATTTAAGTTGATAAAAATGAATAATTATTGTAAATGCAATACAATAAAATGTGTAGAAATCTGTATTGTGAGTAATTTATACTGATTGAAGTGCCTACTATTTTTATGTTGTTAAATTTTAATTGTATTTTCTTCTCCCAGCATAAGTTATGTTCAGCGTGCAGTGGGTATTATGGACCTAATTATGGGCAACCCTTTTGTGTCACATGCCATGCTTTTTTATATCCTGAAGATGTAGATATTCCCGACGGAGGTGTAGTATATCAAGAGGTAGGTTGGAGTGACTGCTTAATTATTTTTAAATGCCAGTTTAGTTTTTGTGCAATAATGTAATTCCTTAAATTTCATATTCGTTGTTTTTGAATTAAACATTTCCCCCTTTTGTCAGTGACATATTTTCTTCAGTAATTGAAATCTATGTATGGAAAAGTTCTTTATTAACTTCTAATCATGAAAAATAAATTATTTGATAAGATCTTGGCTCTGTTTCCCCCATGTATATTGAATACATATAATTCAATTTCCAGTGTAAAAAATGTAAAATATAATTTTTTAAAAGTATTTTATATGAAGAAACGATTGAAAATTTCCTTGTTAAAATACTGCTTCAATTAAAGCTTTTAAAAGTTATAATATGTGCCATAAATGCCTTTATTATTTCATTTCTTATCCCTACAAGAATTTCATTTTGGAGTGAGTGTATATACATATATATAAAATGAATGACTCGTTCTTTGGTTAGATTGAAGGGTGTCCCTTGTATTAATGCGAAGTTGTAGTTTCATTTATGGTACCCTGAGTAGTTAGTTGAATGTTATGGAACCCTATTATGATGTAATTGGCTACATGATTGTGGCAAATTTTTTTATGATGGGAAAAGATTTGTAAGGGCTTGTAGTGTGTGTTGGTTAGAAAGTACATTGCTTGTTTTCACAGTAGAATCGCTGAATGTTGTAA